TTGTGTGGGACCAAAGGCCCTGGGAATACAATGCTGAGCCCTCTGAACTCATTTTATTCTTTATTGTATTATTTGATTCCTGGGGCTGAATTAAACACGAAAACAGAAGAAAACATACCCTTAGATATAGAATCTGAGTCATTACCCGGAGATTTCTGCGGGAGTTGACACTGAGGGATGAGAAACATGTGTTTATTGGTCAGTTTCCTCAACTATGGAACGAAGGTTGATCCTGCCCCTCGGATCCTTTGGAGGTTGGATATGATGCATCTAGAGGGATTAACAGGCAGCTCGGAGAGTAAGATCAGAAGTCAACAGACACTTGTTTCCTTTACCCAGACAGAGTTAGAAAAACACAACTCCTTTTATCATAACAGCAGCAAGGGCCATGCCTGTGGGAGGAGGAGCAGGGAACCAGAGCTTCCCCCTTACTCCTTTCCCGCCCTCCCTCCCTCCCTCCCTGCACTGGTCCAGCTGCTATCACTATTGTGGAACTACTCAACTCAGGCTCTGGCCCCGCCCATCTCACAGGGAGGAGCATGCGCAGTTTCTTGCAGACACAGAAGCAGCTATGGAGTAGGGAGGTGGCGTTATTCCCCTGAGCAGGTGCTGAAGTCCTTGTTGAAGTCTCCACTCCGGAGCCTGCGAGTCCGAGTCCTGGGATGCTGCGCAGTGGAGGTGCCACATTCCTTTCAGTAGAAACTGAAGATTGATAGGAGCCTGCTGGCTGGGGGGAAGGACCAGGAGATCTGCCTTGCGCCCATTCGCCAATCCCTAGTCCCGCTTCGCTGACAGCACTGCCTGAGCCCCGCTGGCCCGGGCACACATGGAGCAGGCCCCCGTGATCACCACACCCACCTGAGCCCCGCTGGCCAGGGCACACATGGGGCGGGGCCCCCAGATCACCGTGCCCACCTGAACCCTGCTGGCTGGGGCCACACCCTGGGGCCTGGATGGCGCCTCTTGCTGCCCCGCCCTGCCTGCAGTATGCAAATTAGCTGCCATCTTTGTTGGTGGTTAATTTGCATATCACTCTGATTGGCTGGTGGGCGTAGCAAAGGTACAGTGAATTTGCATCTTTGTCTTTTATTAGATAGGACTAGAGGCCCAGTGCAAGAAATTCATGCACGGCAGTGTGGTCCCTCAGCCCGACCTTCACCCTCACCAATCCAGAAGCCATCAGGGGATGTCCTGATGGCGTAGGCCTATTCCCTGTGGTTCTCTGTTATCTGCGGGACCTGGCGGCTTCGCTGCCGCTGCCATGCAGACAAAGCCACCATTCCCCGCAGTCTGCTCTCTGTCTGCTGGGCCTGGGGGCTTCACCACTGTGTGAACGAAGCCACCACACCCTGCTGTCTGCTCTCTGTCTGCCGGGCCTGGGGGCTTCACCACCGCCACATGAACCAAGTCCCCCTGCCCCGCTGTCCGCTCTCAGCGGTGGGGCTGAAAAGACTTGGGGACTCCAGTGGGACTGAGGGGACTGGGCACCACCATCTTGTGGCTGTGGGCGCCGCCATCTTTGTGATGGCATGGTGGTCAATTGGCATATTTCTCTTTATTAGATAGGATAAGTAGAAAGTAAAATTCCTACAGTGTATAGAATAAGAACAGAAATAAAGTCTCTCTTTAAACTAAAAAACATACATATATATTCTTTAATATTTTTATGTTTACTGTATAATTTACATTTTTATTAGTTTATTTTATCATTAGTTCAAGATGTGAGATAAGAACTTTTCAAAAATATTTTGCTGACATGTTTTCTGTTGTCATGTTGTCTTGATTGAACTTTCCTTTTGGGACATGAATCCTATTCTTTAAAGTAGTACAGTTTCTGATCCTCCATGATAATATGCAAGGAATGGCAACAACTGCTCCTTAATTTGT